GGGAGGCTGAGGCAGGAGGATCGCTTGAGCCCAGGAGTTTGAGGTTGCTGTGAGCTAGGCTGACGCCACGGCACTCACTGTAGCCCGGGCAACAAAGCGAGACTCTGTCTCAAAAAAAAAAAAAAAAAATGTAGCTCTTCAGTGTAAGATTGTTTCAAGAGCCTAGCAAAGAGCTTTTACATCTTCAGAAGAGTAACATGTTCTCCTTCCTCAAACACTTCACAACCTTTTCTCATTTAGGGATATCTGACACTATGCTACTTTTTCCTCCTCCACCCCCTTCTCCACCTCTGGGATGCCATATTTCCTTACTTCCCTCCCACAAATAGTGTTCATTCCTTTTATTCCCCTTTGTGGTCTATACCAGACCATTCTAGGACAGTTGGAAGACTTGTCAGCTCTACAGTTCTATACCTATCAAACTACGGTTCTCTTGCTTAGATCATTTTCCTCATAGAGAACTTTTAATAAATATAATCCTCTGTCATTATATATGATTAACTACTGCGTCATCCACTAGCTTGTAGTCTTCATGAGAACAATGTCTGTGTCAGGTTTAGCCAAACAGTTTATCCTCAGCACCTAGCACAGTGCGTGGCACATAAATAGATGCTCAATAAATAATTTAAAGAAATATCTTTGTAGGGTTATGGAGTGAGATGACTCAGGATATTTCTCAAATACTAGTTTTAGCTTGAAAGCAAAACCATTTTACCTTTAATGATACGAAAATTATTTTTAAATTTCCTAACAAAGGCAGAAACTGAGTTTATTTGCATAATAATTTCTAACATGCATTTTAACTATAATAGAACAGCATTTTAACTATAAGAGAAGCAATATTATAAACTTTCAGGTTATGTAAGAAATATGGATTATTTAAATTTTTATACCATAACAATCTAGAACAAAGAAACAATTCATACTGAGTTCAAAAATTTTATAGCACTCTGAATATACTTTGTGGCCTGCAAATGAACACAAACCAGTTCTCTTTCACAGGATTATGGAAGAAGCTTTTCTTGCTGCTTGCGTTGTAGAGTGTTTCTGTAGTAAACGACTTGTAGTGTAAAGCTACATTAGAATGAAAAATATCTAACAAATGACTGGGATAGCTGAAGCTGTGATCTGTTTCACTGGTCAAGTTTCCAATCAGAAGAGACAGCAAGAAGAGCTTCTGAGAAAGAAGGGTTATTTTAACTGTGCTAGCATGTTCTTATGAAGAATTAACAAAGAGATTTTCTGTCTCTGTGGCCGTGGAAGCTAAAATTTCTCTTGTAGCAGTATTAGCAGTTTTTGTTTTTAAACCATCCGGCCTGAAATAGTTGATTAGGAAATAATTCTCTAGTTATGAGTACAGATTGGTATTAGAGTAAGAAAATATAATGAACAGTCCTTGTGAGAAACAGAGCTCAAATGGAATGAAGATCGTAAATGAATTCACCTTTGCTATTTAATGCTCATTTAACCACAGCTGGGGCTCCACCCTCCCACCTTTGGCCATTGCTTCTACCCCATCCTCTGCCACCCCCACCGTGCTTCTTAGTAGATCAGAGAGACACCTTGTAGGACTCAACATTTGCTAAGAGACTATAGAAACAGCAAATCAGGGAAGTTTTATATACTCTCTAGAAAAGGAAAGCAAAGGTAATTTTAACTTATTTATATCTTATTTAAATATGCTTCAACTTCATATTGCAATGACTAGGCTTTTTAAATACACATTAGTCTGGGTGGATTATAACTATATCAAGATGAATTCAGGCTATCAATATTCATTTGTGCTTAACATTGAAAAATTTTGTATAAAAATCATTTTAAGACATTAAATTTTTAGCAGAGATAAATAGGGGCCAAGGTCTTATCTCTTTAAAATATCTTTCAAAAATCAGAGGTCTAAAAATCCACTAGGATAATTTTAAAATTACCATTTTGTTTTAAATTTTACAGTATTTGAGAGCACTCAAATTATTATATTAACCTTTAAAGAGATACAGAAACTTCGTTAATGTAGAATTTGATTTTCTATGTATAGAAACCTAACTGGCTGCTGATATCTACATTTGTGAATTTTGACATTGTATATTAAGTGGGTATTTTTTACTAATAGCTCCACTTAGCAGGGGATCAGCTATGAAGGCTTGGTTAACGTTTACATCAGACATATTATAGCTCTTAGAGAAGGCACAAAGTACAAGACAGTCATCTGTATTTTATGCAACCTTTGAAATAGACTTCAAATAAACATTATATCACTTGATTACTAAAAAATAAGCTCATGTCTTTCATCTGATAATTATCTTTAGGTTAATCTAGGTCTAAGCCTGTAAAACTTAGATTTTTAATATTTTAAAATTTACATGATTTCCTTATGTAAGTATCAAATGCACTGTCAATAATGATGTGGAACTAATGAATCTCTCTTTGTAAAGTGTCTAATGGTATGAAAAAGGAAAATCTTGACTGTCATAAACTACATGCATTGAATAACAGATGTTAAGATGTGCTCTTGCCCTTCTATGTGTATTAATGTGTATGAGCTTAATATTTCATATACATAAACACAAATATATATTCAGTGCATACATACCCAACCAGTCACAATCCTGAATAATCCTGAATACATCTTGACTTTATACTCTTATACAAAAGTCCTACTTACATTATCTTGAGTTTTTTAATGAGCAATATAACTGAAGCTGTTTGTCTTTTAATGTTTCTTGGTTTATAAATAGAAATTTTCTCTATAAAAATTTCTGTAATTAGAAATTTTCATGGGCATGGTTCTCCCATTTGACATTTTCATAGGGAGACTTCAGTTAATCATGAATTTAAAGCCAATTGTCAAATCTTAGGAGAACAAATCTCTTTTAAGGTATATTTTATAGCTTAATCATGTTATCTTTTTCTCTTTAGAATTATCTTTTTTTTTCTTTTTTGAAATTATTTTGAAGGTATTTCAGCAGTGCATTGAGATGGACCCAGTTTGGTCTAATTCTCTTACATTCTCATCATTTAGAAGCAAATGAAGAAAGTTATATGAGAACTATTAATACTTAGATTGTGAAAATCAAAGCACCATTTTTGTTCATTATGAGAAACAAAGTAAACTGATTTAATTATTTCTCAATACTGAAATTTCATTTTCTGAGAAACAAGATGAAAGAAAGCCAACTGTAAAATTTTAAAAACATTTTGCAATAGAAATGTAACTATGTATACAAATGTCTTTGTCAGAATTCTGGAGAAAGTTATGAAAATAGAAATCAAGTTTAAAGTAATAAAACCTCAAAAATTAATTTTTAAAATTGGAGCATACTATTTGGATATTTTATTTCATATTTTATGCTAAATGTGCACCTTTTAAGGTTCAAAATGTTTTTATAAACTTATTTTGGAATGCAAACCTTGGGCTTACTGTTT